AAAATACAAAAACTTAGCCACTTGTGTGTGTGTGCTCCCCAATCAGCTACTTGGGAGGCTGAGGCAAGGAAATTTACATGGAACCTGGGAGGCAGAGGTTGCAGTGAGCCGAGATCGCACCACTGCACGCCAGCCTGGGCTGCTGGCAGTACGAGATTCCCGCGCCTTCAAAAAAAAGAAAGAAAGAAAGAAAGAAGGAAAGAAACAAAAAAACAGGAAAGAAGGCTCTGTTGTAGCCTGGATAGGGGAAAATACACCAGAGAGGGACAGGGGTTAAAACAGGAGAATCACATTGAACCGGAATTGCAAGAGGCAGGAAAACTCAAGTGTTCTGTTTTCCTGGTTAATCAGCACTGACATCACATTTTGTAAAATGATACACAACTATTATGAGATGATATCAAATGAAAATATAACAGGGCATGAAAACACTGTCCTCAGCAAAAAAAACTCACAATTGAGGAAAGAAAAGAAACAACTCAGGCATGGAGGGCCCGGGAACTCTTTGCCACATCTACTGAAGTCTGCAGCCTGTTCCAGGCACTGGATGCAACCAAGATCACAAAAGTCACTGTCTTCATGGAGTGGCCACGGTCATGGGGAGGAAGACAGACATGCAAAGAGATTCAACAGAATGTGAGGTCAGGTGTTGACAAGTAAGCCTGAGGGAGCAGAGCAGGGAAAGTCAGAAAAGGAAGAATTCCAGGCCCTGACGCAAAGGTATCAGGAAAGAAGTCTAAGGATGCCCTGATGTAAGTAGGACCTGAGGGGTGTTGTGGAGGGAGCCATGAAGAGATCCCTGGGGAAGAGGATTCCAAACAAAATGCCAAGGTCAGAGGGTTGGCTGGAATGGGGGTCATGCTGCTGACCTTCACCCAGTAGGACAGTAGGACACACACACACATAAACACACACACTGGGCAGTGTGTGTGGGGCCCTAATGTCCTAGTGTGGGGTGTGTGTAGCTTCAAGGCTGATGATTGAAGAGATCTTCTCAGGACCCAGGGCCCAAAGCTTTCACCCCCATACATAGGTCCTGGCCATTGACCGATGCTCTCTCCACCTCCTGGGGGCATCACTTTTAATCTTCTGGAACCCGCCACCACTACCAAGTCACAGTTGAAGCCTCAGCCACCAAAAAGTTTCCGAGGGAAGGATGTTCTTCTACTTGTCCACACCCTGCAGCTGTTCCCAGAATCTTACTGGCTACAGCTGGTGCTAAAGGCAAATAATTGACTCCTCACCACCATTATATTGCTATACCTATATGTGATAGACACTGAAACAATTATATTTGGGCCTGCATACAGTGACGAAGAACAGTATATTCCAAATGCATCCCTGCTGATCCAGAATGTCACCCTCGAATGACACAGGATCCTACACCAAAACCCAAAGTATAGGGACTGAAGGGAATAAATTTGACACAAGCACCTTATACCGTGAGATTCCACACATGATCCCTGGGTGGGGTGTCGGGGTGGGGTCACTTCTACTTTTGCAAATACACAGGATTGCTGTTGACCTAGATCGTGTCTGTGTCCTCTCTCTCCATTATGACCTGGGCGGTTACTTCTTGGCATTTAGTGTGTGGTTGCGCCACACAGAGGAGACAAACTTCAACAGATCAGAATTCCTTCTCTCCCTCCTGCTGCCTCCAGACCCTGCAGACAATTTGCCGTACAGGAAGCGACAGTCTGATGGGGTGGGGTTGCTCAGCAGGAGGAGAAATCAGCCTCAGCCAAGCACCTCTATGTCTCACAAACTTGACCCTGAGAAAGACTCCTGGAGAACTGAGTAGGGCTTTCGCCCAAGAGGCCCAAGGGAGATACTCCTCAGAGAAGCCTGGCCAGTCCTGTAAAGCCTGTAACCCCAGACCCTGTCTGCAAATCCTTACTCCAGATAAAGCTGGAGGAGCCTGTGCCAGGGCTGGGTTGTGGGTGCAGGGCTTAGCTGGGACCAAGGATTTATCAGCTGTCTGAGGACTGTGTCTCCTGCTGTCATTGCCAGCTCAAAGCCTCCTCAGAGCCTCATCTGGGCAAGGACAGGAGTTCTACCTGACACTCAGAGTGAGGAAGACAAAGACAAGCTTTGTAGGCCATCAAATAACTGCCTTGTGAGAGGCTTAGAACACTCCATAGAAAGTCTAATGTCCCCAGAAGCAGAAAACAAGAGAGAAAGCAGCCTGCAGCAGCTTGTCCACAGGGATCTGACCTAAAGCGTGCTCTCTCCAAGGAGTGAATAATAATAAATGCTGTTTGTGTGAACACCCACTGTGCTAGCATTAGGTCAGGTGACTGTGAAGAATTCCCAATGTACTCACAGATAGCATGAAAAGCCACAGTCCATTTGCCATTTCGCTTTTATGACTGGAGAGAAAAACTGAGGCACAGGGAAGGGCTGGTAGTCACTGAACCAGAGTCACACAAACACAAAAGGCAGATCAGGGTCACATGAGGTCTGTCTGGAGCCACAGGCCCATCCTCTCCTCCACCAGAAGTGAGGGAATCATTGGGTTCCAAGGACCCCAAATATATTTATTGGCTCAAATCCTCTTCTTAGGCATCCAAACCTCAGAGGAGTGAGAGCAAATGGTCAGCTGATTAGTCTGCACTCCAGAACTAAATCACCTGCCTCAACCGTCGAGTTGGGGCAAAAAATGTTCAGGCCTCCCTAGATCTTAACCCCTATCACTGAACCTGAAATCCTGTTTCCCAAAGTGTCCATGTCATTGGCATGACAAGATAAAGGAAGGGAGCTTGTGTTCTTTCCCCCACTCACGCCCCCACCAGCAGATACAGGGCCCAGAGAGAGACACACACACCAGGTGCTCTCACATAACAAATGAAGGAATCGAATGAAGAAAAAAGAGTGTAGATTCAGCAACTCTCTTTAGAGACTGGATCTCAGACAGAATCCCAGGAGGCTCTGCAAAGCCACACACCTGTCCTCTTTCCCCTTCAGAGGCTTAGACACCATGTTTCAACCCTCCACAACCTCTCTTGTAAGCAATAAAGACACCCTGACCTCATGTAACCCCTTTGGAAGCTGGGCACCTGTGGAGAGTTTTCAGGGTTGCCTGGTCCTGGACTGGGTGTGTGGAAATGGGACAATTTGTGTCCTTGGGGTTTCTGGGGTCACTGTAGGCCCCACCTGTTCGTGCTGCTGGTATGTGCCTGGTTCCCTGCCTCTCTGCTATTTCCTCTGTGTCACTCCATCTTCCTCCCACTTCATTCTTAACCTGGTGCCCTGTCCTGCACAGCTTTCTCTCCTCCACCCTCCTTGTGGCCTTCCCACAGCAGACACTCCCTCACCAGCTGACTGTTCCCATTCCTTCCTGCTAACACCGTGTGGAATGGCCCACGTCCCAGGAAATGGAAAGCGTACAGAAATCATCCGGAGTTGCCACTACTCGCCAGGCTTCATCTTGAGCACAAAGTGTCCCCAGGTCACTAAAGAAAGACACCCACTGTATCCCCATCCAAGGTTTCTTCCCTTTGAGGCTGTTCCCAGGACAAGACCATGGAACATGCGGATGCTGGGCACAACTCCTCCATCCACTTTGCCCCTCCCAGACAAGTTCTCTTCTTGGCCTCCCTGCACAAACAAAAACCAATTTATCCAGATGGTGATTTCCAGGCAATGAAGATTTTAATGACCTTCCAAGTCTGCCAAACAGGAGGATGGAGGCTTATTACCTCCAGCCTCCTATGGATCAGGGCTAGAGATTTTTCAAGGATAGCTCTCTGGCACAGAGTAAAAATGGGTATTGCTGATTTTGAGATGAATCATGGCGGAGGGGGAATGATCTGTTTGTGCTTGAATCTACCTAGGTGGGGGGATCACGATCGGTTGAGTCTGGCTAGTCATGTATGGACAGAGTCAGTGGGTTGACAGTTAGACGCAAATGAGAAACATCTCAAAGACCAATCTCAGGTTCTACAATAGTGATGTTATCTCGAGCAAATTAGTTGGCAACGAAACTCCCAGCTAAATGATACATTTGCTATAAGAGGTTATGGTAGCAGCTCATATTTTAGCAGAATTCAGTTCCCTATAATCTTACTCTCATGGTGCTTCACCGGTTTGGCAAAGGCAATCCTGGGCAAAGTAAGGTATTAGTTTTATGGAGGAAACATTATTCTTCCTTCAAAATTAAACCATAAACTAAATTCCTCCCATGGTTAGCCTGCCCTATGCCCAGGAATGAGTGAGGACAGCCAGCCTGAGACTAGGGATGCCAGATGGGAGGCCAAATATACCTGTTTGCTGTCAATGGCTGTTGTAATCTTTGCACTGACTCACCAGGGTGTCAGAGGCTGGACAGGCCTGCTGTTTCCCAAGCCCATGGACTGATTTCACCCATTTCATTTGTGACTCCATCCTCCACCTTCTATGGAGCTCACATTCTCCAGTCACTTCCTAGAGACTTCTGGTTTCTTGTCAGGCATATAACAAGCTTCAAATTTGTCACTCACTTTTAAGAGTAAGTAAAAAGCTGAACAAACTCAAAAGTCAACAACTCGTTAAAATCCCGCGGAGATGGCCAGTCACAGTGGCTCAGGCCTGTAATCCCAGCACTTTGGGAGGCCGAGGTGGGTGGATCACGATGTCCGGAGATCACAACCATCCTGGCCAACATGGTGAAACCCCGTCTGTATTAAAAATACAAACAAATTAGCCTGGTGTGTTTCCGGGCACCTGTAGTTCAGCTCCTCTGGAGGCTGAGGCAGGAGAATGGCATGAACCCGGGATGCGGAGCTTGCAGTGAGCCAAGGTCGTGCCACTGCACTCCAGCCTGGGCAACACAGCGAGACTCCACCTCAGAAATAAAAAAAAAGAAAAGTTCTGTTAGAGAAATGAAGAATGCTTTTGATGCTTTCTGGTAGAGTGCACACAGCTGAGGAAAGAATTCCTAACTTGAGGATGTTTCAATAGAAACTCCCAAAACTGAAACAGGAAAGTTCAAAAAGAGTGATGGAAAAAAAAGTGGAACAACATTTTCAACTTCATATGTAACATTTTGTATTGACAATTGCAATTTTTAAATGTTGTAGTTGTGGGACAACTACCAAGTCTGTAACACACACGTAATAGGAATACTGGTGGTTTTGGGGACCTGTTGGAGGTGGCCAGGTGGCTGCTATCTAGTGGTTTTACTGCCTGTGGCACATATGATTGTTTCCTCATGATGATGCCATTTTCATAAGTTGGAGTTCTTCGTGTGGGAGGCACATGAGCCATTGGCGTCTCACTTGGACTCTTCCTAATTCACATAAACTGAAACTCGAGTTGTATTTCCTGAGGTTGAGAGAAAATGAAGAAAGCATTTCACATACCTGTTTTGGGCTCTTCCCCATTTTTCCTAACTCTGCACAGAAATTAGAAACAGGGAGCTCTTTCTATATTTACTAACATAACACTCATCACTTCTTTTAATTCAGCATCATTCCTCCCTTTAAGTAATTGACAAACTGACCAGTTCTGTCCTTTTAATGGGACTCTCTCTACTAAAGGACTTGCTAATTTCAAATCATCTTTGGCATCTTTCTTTGAGCATGTGATCCTGCTGGAATTCATGGCGCACCTAAAATTTAATTAGGTATCAAGACAAATACTACTACCAGCAATTGATCTTAGATGTTTGGACTATCAGTAAAACTTTCCACTTATGACAACATTTTAATGTTTCCCCCAAATCTTTTTTTGTTTTGTTACTAGAGTCAGAACATAACATGAGTTCTAAACTCCTGACAACATTTTATGGAAAAATTACAATATTACAAATTGAGCATCCCAAATCCAGAAATCCAAAATCTGAAATGCTCCAAAATCCAACACTTCCGACCACTGATGTGATGCTAGAAAGAAGTGCTCACTGGAGCATTTTGGATTTTAAATTTTTCAGAGGTAGGATGCTAAACCAGTAATATCTACTGCAAATATTCCAAAATAAAAAAAAGTTAGAAATCCAAAACACTTGGTTTTAAGCATTCTGCGTATGGAACACTTTATCTGTATGAACTATAGGCATGAAGCTGTACTGGAGATCTCCCGAACCTCCTCATCCTGCGTAACTGAAACCGCACACCCACGGAACAATGCCCTATTCCCCCAACCCCAGCTCCTGGAAACTATTATTCTACTCTCCGATTCATTCTGGAATCCACTGAGATGAGGTACATAAAGTAGTCAAACTTACAATATCAGAGAGTAGAATGTCTAATGAGAGAAAGTATCCGCAAGACTTCTTCCCAAACATTGGTCTAATAGCCACCAAACCCGTGTGGTCCATGAGGGCCAGATTTCCATCACCACTTCAAGTTCGGCCTTTCCACAATCAGTTCTGCATTTGCAAACATCCACATGTATTTCTAGAAAGATACACATGGTAATCACCTGCCCTCTACAGGGGGAAGGGAACATCATGCATACAGGACAGGGAACGTGGTCTTGGTCCAAAGCTATCAGCTCTTGCTTGTCGCCTTCACTTTTTGTAGGTCATCCCATGGACTCTGTTCTATCTTTAGAGATCACTGGCTCAAGTCAGTTCACTATGAGACAGCTGGGAATACTGCCCCAACTTGTAGCTCCACTGCCTGATGACTGAACTGACCTCCAGGCTTGACTCTGGTCTCCCCTGTGTTATTTCTGCTGAAGTACACAATCACAGGCCAGGCTTCCCAGTACCCAAAGTTTAAGGACAATGGGGAGTTCCATCATCCATCTCTAGGATGTCCTTGGAAAGGGAAGGTGCAGAGAAAGCATACCTTGGGGGACAAAGTAAGACTGAAACTAAGAAGATTCCAGCACTGCATGCTCCAGGTGAGGACCCCAAGGTGGGCCAGCCAGGCAGTTGGAGAGGGAGGGACTCAGAGAGGCACCAGGGGCTGTGACTGCTGGTCCCATATCTTTCCATGACCCAACGCTGCTGCTCAATTCACACTTGAGAAAGTCTGTGCTTCTCCCACATGAAGCAGGCAGCCTCACAATCTCTGAGCCCTCAGATTGCCATGCATCTGTCTTGTAACACACACATCTGCCATGGGCTTTTAAGGACTGGGGTAGGCTGAGAGGTGGGAAAGGCTATCTCTGATTGAAAAATGTCTTTGGGGGAATCAAAGGTGCCACACAGGGCAATCTTCTCTGTTATTTGCACAGTGGAGACTCCCAAGCCCTACATCTCCAGCAGCAACTTAAATTATTTGCACAGTGGAGACTCCTGGCCCTACATCTCCAGCAACTTGAAACCCCCAGGAAGCCATGACTGTGATCTTATCCTGTGATCCTGACACCTGTGGACGTAGTTACTTGTGGTGGATAAATGGAAAGAGCCTCCGTAACAGTCGCACGTTGCAGTCCTAAAACAACAGGATCCCCTTAATTTATTTGTTGTCACAAAGGATAATATAGACCCTATGAATGTGAAATGAAGAACTCCAGTGAGTTCTTGCAGCCGCAAAGACCAGTCACCCTGAATCTCCTCTGTGAGTATCTTCTGTTCCTCTGTGAGCCAGGCTGCCATCCCAAATATACATGGCCAGAGGCCAGGCCTCTCAGTCCCTCTCAGGTGCAAGTACAGAGACTTTTACCTCTGGACATCAAAGCTGGCCATGACTACTAAGAGTAGGCTTATACTTGATCAACAGTGGGAGAGAAATGCTGCTCCTGTCATGGGAGAATCAGTTTCCACAGCTTATGATAGGAAAAACAGGTTAGTGCCTCAGGTTCCAGACCAGTGAACACAGCAGGGATTTGGCTGGGACTTTAATGTGACTTAGCTCACAGGGTCACTGTGGCCCTTCCACAGACCAGGATTTTCCCTTTCCTTTGACAACATCACCTGTGACTTTATTCTCTTTGCTCCAGATGGCCTGGATGCCCCCACCATTTCTTCTGCATACACCTATTACCATACAGGGGAAGTCCTCAAGCTCTCCTGTCTCACAGACTCTCACCCACTGGCAGAGCATTCTTGGCTGATTGATGGGATGTTCCAGCAATCAGCACAAGTATTCTTTATGCCCCAAATCACTAAAACATATAGAGGGTGCTATATCTGGTTCATCCATAACTCAGCCACTGGTGGAACAAATCTCATAATCAAGAGGATCATAGTCCCTGGTAAGTGGATCCCTGGAGCATTGGCAATATGTTTTCCAGTGAAGCCTATCTGGCTATCAGGGAAGAGCCGTGTGTCCTCTGCAAAGGGAGAGAGAAAATCAAAATCCCAGGACAGGGAATATGTTTCTGCTTGAAAACCACCAGCTTTTGCCTGTACCCTTCACTCATTCTAGATCATTCTTTAGAGTTTGCACTAACAATGAACAATGTGAATGGAAATTCAGAAAGAATTTCCATTCACATTAACATCAAAAAGAATAAAATATTTTGGAATAAGTTTAACCAAAAAGGTCAAAGGGTTATACCCTGAAAACTACAAAATATTACTGAAAGAAATTAAAGACGACATCAATATATGGAAAGACATTTCATTTTCACGGATTGGAAGAATCAATATTTTTAGGAAAGCAATACTACCCAAAGTGAGCTCCAGATTCAACACAACTCCTACCAGAATCCCAGTAACATTTTTTGCAGAATTACAAAAATCTGTCCTAAATCTGACCTGACAGGCTCTTATTAATGATGGCCACAAGAGAGACACTGAGAAAAAGATGCAACCATGAAAAGGTGGAAACTTTTGATGACATAGAAAATAGCAATCAGCCTCTCTCACATCCCAAAGCCCTCAAAAATATACGAGTGCAGCATGGCCAGTATGGAATTGCCCAAAACCTAATCACCAAGCTAGAAATGTGGTGAAAGAAAAAAAAAAAAAGAGCAAGAATATATTTGGCTTATCACCTCCCACTTTGGTGCACTAATCTGATGCTGAAAAGAAATGTTCACTGGAGCATTTCAGATTTTGAATCCTTCAGATTTGGAATGCTAAACCAGTAACTACAGAACAAATGTTTCAGAATCAAGAAATGTCAGAAATTCAAAACACTTTTTGCCCAAAGTCTTATGCATAAGAAATACTCAATTTGTGAGAATTGTAGGCATCAAGCTGTACAGCAGATCTCTAGAACCTCCCAGTCTTGTATAACTGAAACTGCTCACCCATGAACAACTTCTGATTCTCCTTACTCCCAGTTTCTGGCAACCAACAGTCTCTTCTCAGATTCACTCTGGAATCCACTTACATGATGTCCCTATAGTAGTCAAACCCATGGAATCAGAGAGTAGAGGCTCCAATGAAAGAAAATATTCAAAACTTCTCCCCAAATTTGTCTCATATCCATCAAACACACATGGTCCATGAGTACCAGATTTCCAGCAGTTCATTCCCACCCTTTCCACCAGTCCGTTCTGCATCAGCAAATGTCAACATGTGTTTCTGGAAAGATCCATATGGTCTTCACCTGTCCTCTGCAGAAGGAGAGGAAACTTAAAGAACCCAAAACAGGGAACATGGTTCTGCTCCCAAGCCACCAGCTCCTGCCTGACCCCTTCACTCTTTCTAGATCACTCCTTGCACTCTGCTCTATCTTTGGAGGTCACTGGAACAAGTAAGTCATCATGAAACCCCTGTAGAAAACTACCCCACCTTGTGCCTCCACTGCCTGATGACTGAACTGACCTCCAGACTTGACTCTGGTCTCCCCTGTCTTCTTTCTGCACAGAAACGCCAGTCCCAGGCCAGGCTGCTCCAGTATCTTCAGGGTTTTCAGGACAATGGGAAGTCATTATTACTCATCTCTAAATGTCCTTGGCAATGGAAACTGCAGAGAAATCACCTCTAGGGGGGCAAAGTAGGATGGAATTTGGAAGGGGCCCAGCAGTTGCACATTCCAGGTAGGGAACCCAAGGTAGACAGCCAGTCAGTTGATTAGGGAGGACTGGGAGGAGGTACCAGGGCCTGTGACTCCCACTGACGTGTCTGTCATGACCCAACACTGCTGCTCAATTCACACTTGAGAAAGTCTGTGCTTCCCTAAGACAGAGCAGGCGGCCTCACAGTCTTTGAGCCCTTAGATCATCATCATGCATCTGTCTTGTGACACATGCACCAGCTATTATTTCAAGGACTCAGGAGGGCTGAGAGGTGGAGATGCCAACTCTGATTGAAGGATGCCTGTGGAGGAATCAAAGGTGCCACACTGGACAATCTTCTCTCTGCTGTCCACACAGCAGAGCTGCCCCAACCCTACATCACCAGCAACAACATCACCCATTTAGAATAAGAATGTAGCCTTAACTTGTGAACCTGAACTCAGGATATACCTACATGTGGTGGGTAAATGGTCAGAGCCTCCCAGTCTGTCCCAGGCTAAAGTAACTTGATGACAGGATCCTCATTCTACCCAATGTCACAGGAAATGATACAGGACCTATGAATGAAATATGGGACCGGGGTTAGCATCTGCAGTGACCCAGTCACCCTGGATGTCCTCTGCATCTTTGTTTCCTCTGTGGGCCAGGCCACCAGCTTAAATCCAAACTACCAGAGACCAGACATCTCAGTCTGTCTCAGGTCCACTTACAGACAATTTTGTTTCTGGACACCGAGTGGGACATGACTCCCTGCCCTGGGAAAACCTGGTTAGGCGCAGCCTTAGCAAAGAATATAAGGGGAAGGGATGCTCTCTTGTCATGGGAGACAGGGAGCTACAGCCTGTGATGGGAGAAACAGGTGAATACCTCCCAGGCCTTGGCTCAGTGAACACAGAAGGGGGTTTGGCTGGGACTTGAGGGTGTGTCTTGGCTCAGGGGACACTGTGTCCAGTTTAAGGAGACCAGGAGCGATCCTTCCCTTGGGCCGACATCATCTGTGGCTTTATTCTCTTTACTCCAGATAGTCCAGACATCCCTAGCATTTTCCCTTCATTGACAGAGCCGTTCCAGGACAAAACCTCTACTTGTCATGTATGAGACTCTAATCCACCGGCAGAGTATGCTTGGGCGATAAATGGGAAGTTTCTGCAAACAGGACCAGGATCTACTTATCCCCAAATTACTACAAACCATAGCAGGCTCTATCATTGCTCGTTAAGCCCGCTCAGCCACTGGCAGCAGGCGTTCCACATTCAGACAGTCAGAGTCTCTGTCATCGTCTCCTGCTCTCAAATTTAAGTAAATATATCAGCTAAGAAGAGTCAGAAAACATTTTATTCCCAGTCTGTGTCAATGGACATAAGCAAGTCTCAGGTTATGGACCCTCCCAAATTGTCTCTACAGACTCTCTCTTCACCTTGTTTTCCTGTTTTCTCATAGCTGACATTCCGTCCAGTCTGACAAAGGGAGTAGGGATGAAGCTTTCTCAGCCCTGAGCCTATGTGGTGGAAAGAGGCTTCACAGCGAGACAAGAAGGGAAGTCCTCAAGGTCATGTTGTTCACCAGCTGTCACCAACACGTCCCTTTCTGCCACGTCTTTGTTTCCTTTTACCTACTCCGCAGGCACAAAAGGAACATCTGAGGCTTTAGAAACAAGCTCACAATTTTCCGTCAAATGAGAGAGGAAGCCCCTTGGATGAGGGAGGAGCAGCTCAGACTGCTGCCTTCTCTGCTCCAGGCTTCTCTGGTGACTGGCCCTGCCTGACTCCACCTGGGGTGAGACCAGCATGTATGGAGAAAGAGCCTGGTGGCCTGTCCTGAATTTGGCTTCATCTCAGGCTGCCAGTTGAAGTGAAGCCTGAGCTACAGGAAATAAGAAGAGGAGGAGTCTGAGGGAAGACTCTTGAGCTGTGTCCTGGCTCTGAAGTCACCGGCTCTGTGGGGCTGTGGACACTGCATGGGACACAGCACAGAGGACACAGTGAGTGATGCACACTTGAATAAATAGGGAGATTCATCTCTGGGGCTCTGCATGGCAGGAAAGGGACAGTGAAAAGTGTGTATTTGTAAGTGTAAAGACTAGGACACTTTATATGTATCTAATATAAGACTTATCATTAACTATTTCTAAATGTGCAATTTAGTGTTGTGTAACTGTCACACTATCCATTTCCAGAACTTTTTCCTTTTACCATATTAAACCTCTGTACCCTATAAACAGTAACTCTCACTTCTCCCCCTATCCCTTAGCACATACCATTCTACTTTCTGTCTCTATGTAACTGGCTATTCTATCTTTTATAAATGGAATTATAGAATAATTATCCTTTCATGTCTGGCTTATTTCAGTTAGCA